GGCCGTAGCCAAGGCCAAAGCCAAATCCACCAGAGATGGGCTGTCCCTGGGCACTGAGCTCAGTGCCCAGAGCAGCGGAGGAGGTGGATCCGACGGCGGTGCTCTGGGGGAAGGAGGTCATGATGGGTCCTGGCAAGGTGACCATCACGGGGGAAGGCTGGATAACAACACGGGAATCCTGGCATTGCAGGGCACAGGGCTCGTTGCAGCTGTTGGCCAGCGGGGTGGGTCCGCAGGGTCGGCAGATGTTGTTGCAGGCCATGGTGTGGAGGGTGCCTGGTAGAGAAAAAGGGTGAGGGAGTGCAAGGATGTGGGGGAGCATGAGGGGTGAGGGAGTGTGGAGGCTGTTGTGGGGCTGTGGGGAAGCGTGAGGGCTGCTGAGGCTGGGGCTGAGTGTGCTGGCAGAGAGGGGCCAGGAATACAGGAGCAGGAGGTTCAGGGGCTTGAGACTCACCTCGTTCTTGGAAGGAGAAGCAGCAGAAGGCGTGAGGAGAAGTGTGTGATGGAGAGAGGCTCTGAGCTGGCTTTTATGCTGGTTCTGTATGGGTGGGACAGCCTTGTCCCATGGCCTTGGGGCCTTCTGAGGCAGCAGCTTTTGGCTGGCCCAGCCTGGTGACTCATGAGGTGGGCAGTGTTTTTCTTCGTGCAATTTCATGTCCTGCTCTTGATGCCATGTCCATCTGACCTTGCAGGCAGCTTTCTGTCAGGAGTTGGTATTTGGCAAGATTTGATTGTTTAGTGTTTGTCAAAGAGGGCAGAATAAACAATCATAGCTCTGAAGAGTTGCTATGCCATTGGTGATGTCATTTTGAGGTTCTCATGTGCTGTGGTTTGCAGGTGCCTTGTGAAGACCTGGACTCTCTTCTGTGACACTGGATGTCCATCAGTCATTGTGTCGCGCCCAGGAATGCTGAGTGAGCTGATGCTGTCCTGGAGAGGTCACTGTGCAAAAACTTGGATGATTTCAGTGCCTGGAAGTGTTTCCTGATGGATGAAAGAGAGCTCCTGGCCTTGTGTCTTGAGCAGGGTCAGGGGAGAGGATTAGGGAAATGCGAGGCTGTTCAGGCTGTATTTGTTACAGTCTTACGGCCCATTTGGATTTCCTAAATTTGAACAACAACCTAATCTGTCATTTAAAATGTATTTCTTGTCCTCTGCCGGAAATCTGAGAAATAAACAACAAATGGGGCCCATCCCTTTGTTCCCAGGCTGGTCTGTGACGTCAATGCATTTATTCCGCATTCAAGCCGTAAGGTTTCACAATTTATATCCTCTGAGTCTTACTATTTTTTTCCTCTTACCAAATAACCATTAATTACTACTGGGTGGTCAACAACCTCCTCTTTCCTTCTCTGCCATTACTTGGGCATTTCTTTGTGCATTTCTCACATTCCACCTCCTTCTCTTGAGGCCGTGTCCATCTCCCCTTGGCGGCAGCCTTTAAGTGTGCCTTTCAGAGATGAAATTTTGGTGTTGTGGGTGCAGGATGAAGACGTGACCAGAGCTTTGGAGAACTGAGGTGTCATTACTGAGGCACCATGCAGCACTGGCTTGCTGGTCTTTGGGTGTGTTTTGAAGGTTACCCTCGGCCTCTTTCAGCCCTGACAAGCTGGTCTGGGCTTTGCAGCTCTTCCAAGTACCTGCTGTTGCCCCTTCCAGCCCATTCCCTCTCTCCACGCAATTTCCCCAGCTGTCAAAGCCTGACTGGAGACATCACCTTTACCATCAGTCATACTCTGAGGGTGTCTTGCTGTCCCCCTTGTCTGGAACTTTTACAGTGATGGAAGGATTTGATATTCAAGGTTTTTGTGATCTTTACTCGGGCTGAGCATTGAGGAGTGAGATCACTTCTCTGGGCAATTTATGATTGTCAGAAAGAGGGTTTGGAAATTGTCCAGGGTTTTTGCAGGTGACTATTGCGCAATCCTCTACAACCCAGGCAAGTCCAGGTGTCCAGCGTGGTGGCCTGAGTAGGACCCAGAAGGTTTTTGTCTTGACTGTCCTTAAAACAGGCAGAAGCTGAGAGAGCTGGGAGTTCTTTTAGGCAGGAGGCAAGAATGCAAATGCGACATGTTCTCATTGTGCCATGGAATGACCTCGGATGACACCGGAGCTCTCCTCGGATTTGGCTGAACCTTCTACGTGCCCTGACACGCGCCATCAACAACCACACACTGGTCTCTAATTCTGGCAGGTAAGAGGTGCTGCCAAGGTCAGAGGGACACTGCCCCAAGGGAAGGACATGAAACTGCAGAACTCCAGGAAGGAGAACACTCCCCACCTCAGGACTCACCAGGCTGGGCCAACCAAAAGCTGCTGCCTCCAAAATGCCCCAAGGCCATGGCACAAGGCTGTCCCACCCATCTGGCAACAGCTCCTGCAAACAAAGCACCTCGGCTCATGCTTGCCCTGCTTGCAGCTCACTCTGGATCCCTTCCGTTTCATTCTCCTGTCTCTTCCTTCTTGTTCCTCAATAAAGATTTTCTGCATCAAAGCATCAGATGCCTCCTCTTCCTTTTTCAATTCCAGAGGTCTCACATCCTCACCCTGCACAGTGCCAGGGCTCAGCAGGACTTTGCTGAAAGGAAAAGGGGCACAAGACTTTTCTCTAGGAAATCCTTCAGCAATATTTAACAGAGCCATCACCAGCAGTAACAAACAAGACCTGTACATGAAGCAGAGAAGGGGGAGAACCTTCCAAAATATTTTACAAGCCAATTGTATCTGCTATACTTAAGGCTTTGACACATTAATGCTCTTCTGCTCAAAGTCTCTCTCTGCCAGCGCACAAACTCTTTTCCCAGCAGGACTCTCAAGCCCTCTGAATAAACACTCCTACAATCTTCCACTTGGGCAGGAACTCGAGTGCAAGTGCTTCAATCCCTTCAGCTCAAGCAGGACCAGCAAGAGCAGCGTTTCCCAGCACCATGGACAGTTCATGTTTTGATTTCCTAGCGGCCTCCACCTCTTCTTCCCCTCTCTGACCAGCCTCACACTGAAAAATCCTTGCTTTCTTTTCCCACAGAATTCCATGTTTTCCCTTGCACTCTTGCCCTCTTGTCCTCCATGTGTGCCCTGCTGAGAACAGCCAGGCTCCCTCGACTTCTCTGCCATCAGAGATTTGCACACACTGATGGCTGGGAGTCCCAGCTCTCTCAGCCTCTCCTCTAGGAAAGATCCTGCTTTAGAATATTGCTGGCCCTGAAATGCTCTTGATTCACTAAATCCACTTCATTTTCACACTGGGGTGGCCAGCACTGCCCACAACCCCTCACATGTGACCCCACCAGTGCTGAATAGACAGCAAGAGTCACATCTCCACACCAGGTCAGAACAGCATTCCAGATCCTTGACACATGAGGTCTCTGCTCCCACACTGGTACAGGGACAGCTCCTGCCCCGTTTCTCCTCAACCACAAGCACAAAGGCTTTTTTGGAGAAGAAAACCATTGTTCCAACTGAGACTCAGACATTTTATCCCATCCGGGATGACTCCCCCACCCAAGAAGCAGCCCTTGGCACCTGTCCTTTCTGAGCTCCAGCTGATGTCCAGGCCCGGTTTTCAGTGCTGGCCAAAAGGATCCAACTTCTGGATCCTGGGGACTTGCTGCCATCTGGACTTTGGGACACTGACCACAAGCCTCCATACCCAGCCCTTCAGACCTTCTCAGGCCACACTCTGGGCACTGACACAACCCGGACTTGCCTGGTTTTTGAGGATCATGCAATACTCACCTCCAAGAACCCTGTGCAACCTCAAAATCCTCATTCTGACCGCCAGATACTGCCAAGAGAAGCGACCTCACACCTCAGCCTAAGTTGGGATCTAAAATGCCCTGGATATCAAAACTGTAAAATCAAGAGGGGCACATAGAAGAGCACGACCAACACGAAAGACAGGGCTTAATGTCAGAGTTTTCCAGATTGGGGAAATGCAAAGAATGAGGGAATGTGATGGAAGGGGCAGCACCAGACACTTGGAACAGCTGCAAAGCTGAGAGAAACTGGGGACAATTCTTCACAACACACCCACAAGCCACAGCACACGAGGGCCACGGGATGACCTAAATGATGACACCCCAGCTTTCCAAAGTTCTGGTCACGTCTCCAGCCTGCCCTGACATGAACCACCAACAGCAGAATTTGGTCGCTATAATTTGCAATTAAAAGAATTAAAAGCTGCCACCAAGGTCAGATGGACACGGCCTCAAGAGAGGGACGTGGAATCACAGAATTTACAAAACACGCCGGAACCATGAGAGGGGAGGGAAGAGGACCACACTGACTGTCCATTAGTAATTATTAGGTTTTGCTCAGAGGGACACAATACTAACATTTATAGAACAAAATTTATGAAACCATGTGGCTTGAATGCGGAATGAGAGAATTGAGGTCACAGCCCTGGCAAAAAGGGATCGGGCACTGGTTTGTTGTTTGTTTACTGGATTTCTAAACCAGGTCAAGGAATGCACTTTAAATGATAGAGAATGCTGTCACGTAAATTTGAGAAATACAAATGGAACCAAACATTGGAACAAGCTCAGCCCGACCATGCTCTCATTTTCCAGATCCTCTCTCGATCCCGCTCAAGACACAAGGCCAAGAGATCTCTTTCATCCGTCACAAAGAACCCCCAGGCACCAGGACCTTGCCAAGATATTCCAGAGTGACCTTCCCAGGATATCAGCAGCTCCCTCAACTTTCCTGGGCGCAACACAATGACTGAAGGGCATGCAGTGGCACAGAACAGAGTCCCAGACCTCACAAGGCACCCACAAACCACAGCACTCGAGTGCCACAAAATTACCTCACTGATGACATCACAGATCTTCAGGGCTCTGGTTGTTTATTCTGCCCTCACTGAAACACACTGAACAATCACATCCACCCAAATACCAAATTATTAATGCTGCTGCCAAGGTCAAAGGGACACAGCAACAAGAGCTGGACACGAAACTGCACAATGGTGGCAGAGAAAACATTCCCCACCTCAGGACTCACCAGTAACGAAAGAGCTGCTGCCTCAAAAATACCCCAAGGCCATGAGACAAGGCTGTCCCGCCCCTCAAGGACCTGCATAAAAGCCAGCCCAGAGCCTCTCTCCCTCACACACTTCTCCTCACGCCTTCTCCTGCTCCTGAAGACAACCAGGTGAGCCTTAAGACCCTGACCCTCCTGCTCCTGCACCCCTGCCCTCTCTCTTCCAGCACACTCAGCCCCAGCCTCAGCAGCCCTCACGCTTCCCCACAGCCCCACAACAGCCTCCATACTCCCCCCCCCCCCATGCCCCCCCACATCCTTGCCCTCTCTCACCCTTTTTCTCTTCCAGGCACCCTCCACACCACACCCATGGCCTGCAACAACATCTGCCGACCCTGCGGACCCACCCCGCTGGCCAACAGCTGCAACGAGCCCTGTGCCCTGCAATGCCAGGATTCCCGTGTTGTTATCCAGCCTTCCCCCGTGATGGTCACCCTGCCAGGACCCATCATGACCTCCTTCCCCCAGAGCACCGCCGTCGGATCCACCTCCTCCGCTGCTCTGGGCACTGAGCTCAGTGCCCAGGGACAGCCCATCTCTGGGGGATTTGGCTTTGGCCTTGGCTATGGCCTGGCAGGCCTGGGCTGCTCTGGCAGAAGGGGCTATGCCTCCATCTGCTAAGGGCCCTCAGCACCACTCCTGACACCAACCACCCACTCCCTGGAATTCATCTCAGGCATTGAGGATTTGTCTCTGGGCCAAGGCTCTCAAATTAACTCAGCACTTCCAGCTCCTGCTCTCAGGCCATGGTGAAAGGCACCAGCCCAGGGGCCAGCCCAGGCTGCCTGCAAGCATGTCCCATCTTCTTCCTCCTCTTCCCCCCTCCCTGCTCTGCACTACCCCTGCATCTCTCTCTTCCAGGCACCCTCCACACCACACCCATGGCCTGCAACAACATCTGCCGACCCTGCGGACCCACCCCGCTGGCCAACAGCTGCAACGAGCCCTGTGCCCTGCAATGCCAGGATTCCCGTGTTGTTATCCAGCCTTCTCCCGTGATGGTCACCCTGCCAGGACCCATCATGACCTCCTTCCCCCAGAGCACCGCCGTCGGATCCACCTCCTCCGCTGCCGTGGGTGCTGAGCTCAGCGTGCAGGGACAGCCCATCTCTGGTGGATTTGGCGGCTTTGGCCTTGGCTATGGCCGTGGATTTGGCTGTGGGCTGGCAGGCCTGGGCTGCTCTGGCAGAAGGGGTGGCTACAACTGCTAAGGGCTCTCAGCACCACTCTTGACACCAACCATCCACTCCCTGCATCTCATCTCAGACTTTGAGGACACATCTCTGGGACAAGATTCTCAAATGCGCTCAGCACTTCCAGCTGCTACTCTCAGGGCACCAAACAAGGCAGCAGCCACAGGGCCAGGCCAGGCTGCCTGCAAACATGGCCTGTCTGCCTCCTGCTCTTCTCCTGCTCCCTGCTCTGCATGGCCCCTTTGGCTCTGTCCAGCCCCCTCTGGACAAACCCCTTATCCCAAGCCAGAGACCATCGGGCACCTCTGCGGGCTATTCCCATTGCAGGGCAGGAAGTCCTTGATGCTGTGGCCAGACCTGCTGCAATCGAAGGATCTGTGCTGATATTTGTCCTTTTGCACCTCAGACCAGCTCTATTTTATTTACTTCTGCTTTTTACTATTTTTTTGCCTCAATAAAGTTTCCTGCATCATATTCTCAGATGGCTCCTTTTGCCTTAATCTCCCAAGACTATTCCAACACTCACAGCCTGAATCCAGGTGTCAATTTTCCATCAGCTCCTGCAGGCCTCGGTTTTGATGCTCACCCTCTTTCCAGTCTGGCCAAGCCACTCATCCCATCAGAGATGACCCTCCAAGGTGCCAAGACTTGTTCTGGGAAACATTTCAGCCCAAAACAACTACTGGTGTAATTTTCCCTTCCTTGTTGACCAACCTCCTTCCCTAACACCATTCACGATCCATAAGGAGAAACAGAAGGGAATGCTGGAGGCAGGGGGGAAAGGAAGAGGAGAGAAAAGAAATGGGAAAAATGTGTTATTCCTTTCCATGGGTTCAGCACTGACTTCAATGTCACCGTTTGTTGCAGTAAGGTAGAAAAATTATAAAGAAAGGCCTCATAAAATCAAGCCTGCTGTCCTAAAATCAGTGGCTGGCCTTGACAAGCTAGCACTTTGCAAGTTCCCACATGGAAGCAATATTGGTGTGAGAAGTTCATTAACAAAACAATCTATTCCTGGGTGAAAAAAAACAACTTACACCTGTATAAAATGGTTTTACATCATTAGATAGAAAAATGAGATCTGTCACAAACAACTTTTCCTGCACGTACACGCTGGGGGTTTGAGTGACCAATCAATACAGGGTAACAACTTGTTACTAACCAGTAAAGTAATTGGCAAGAAATTATTAACTGATTGGAGTCTGTAAAACTGGATAAAAATTAGTTATATGAATAAAGAATGGGCTTTTTCCACCATTGAAGAAAATGGAGTTTTAAAAACATGTTATATTCCAATACTCATTCCATAACCTGTAAAGCACCAACCAAACAGGCTCTGGTCCCTTTTTCCATAGGGAAAAATTTCCTCATTGTCCAAGGCATCTCCTGTGTCCTGCACTGAGGCCAAGGCCAAGGAATGGCCACAAAAACCATCCCGTGCCTCACTTCCATCCCTGGAAGCGTTCAAGGCCGGGCTGGGTTGGTTTGAAAAGAATTCCCAGTGGAATTGGAAATATTTGCTTTGGAGAGCTCAGCGATTAGAGACCAGAGACTGGGAAAATCGTGGATGAGTAGAGGGAATCACCATGAGACCCCACAAACAGCAGGGGCTCAGCCCGGACAAAAGGAGGCCCGGGGGAACCTTCTGGAAGGGGGGTGGAGCCAGGTGGGCATTGGGTTCTGTTCCCAGGGGACAAGGGACAAGAGGAAACGACACCAAGTTGTGCCAGGGGTGATTCCGTTGGATATTAGGAGAAATTCCTTCCTGGAAAGGGTTCTCCAGCCCTGGCACGAGTCCCCATTCCTGAGAGGGATCAACGTCCATGTGGGGGTGGCACTTGGGGATGTGGTTCAGAGTGGTTTTGTCACTGCTGGGGAAAGAAGAGCTGGACTCAGCCTCAGAGGGCTTTTCCAACCTCAACAATCCCAATTCTACGCCCCTTTGGAAGCTGATTCCAAGATCTCAGCTCCTTATGGTAAATACAGAACCAATTTCGCCATCTGGAACCTACGGCTCAGTCCCTCCTCTAATTGTGGCCAATCCTAATGAACCACTTAATTGATAAGAAAGATAAGCCAGTGATAAGACAACAATAAGCCAACCATAACCCCCTGATAAAATGCCACTAAGCTTTTTCATTATCCACATAAATAATTCCAAATTAATTCTAATTTGACATTCCCTTTTATGTCTCATCCACGTTGACAACCTTGGAGGTCTTTCCCAACCACAATTATTTTAGCACATGATTTTAATTAGTAGAGTGGACCTTCCCATCAAATCCTATTTTGACAAAATACAATAAATTGTAATTTATATTAAACTAACTGTTTTTGGTGCCTTTCACAGTGAGAGTTTAACCAACCCGAACAATCAATTTCACGACACTTTGGTGTGGAGGTGAGAGTGTTGTTCACCTTTTCCATGTCCTGTGGAATCAGGGCCCCTGTTTTTCCACTTTTTAATAATAATAATAAACCCTCAAAACCAGCTGCAATTGATAAAACCATCGACAGACCCATGCAAGCAGTTGGGGAAGGAAAAATAACCCCATAAAGGTAAAAAACCCCAAAAACCTCCTGCTTTAAGTAAATCCATAAGGCCCCAGCAGAATAAATCAGAATAAATGCCAAAACCAAAGCACCCAGCAAAGGCCTTCTGGGGGAGAAAGGCTGCCAAAAAAATAGAAAACACCTGGCTAGAAAACTCCACCTAAAGATATTACTAAGATTGAGAAATAAGCCTACAAAAAAAGAGGGGAAAGGGAAAAAAAAAAAACAATTTTAACAAAAAGAGGGGGAGAAATGGCAAAAAAACCACAAAACACAAATTGTGAGAAAGGGGGAAGGGCAATGATCCAAAGGTAAAATGTTCCTAAAAATGCTGATAACAAGAATAAACTCTGAAATTTTCCAAAGCAAATCTGCTGGGTGCCCCAGACCCCTCAGTTCTGCACCAGTTCCGTGTCACTATTCACCATCCACAGAGTCCCTGGAGCACCAATTTTGGGTGTTGTCACCTCCTGCCCTCCCTGTCCCCACCCTGATGGAAGCTTTGGGACAATCCAGAGCACCCAGGTCAGGGAATTGTGGAAGGGTTTGGGTGAGAAGAGACCTTCAAGACCTTTAATTCCAATATTTTTCGTGGGCAGGGACTGCTTCCACCATCCCAGGATGCTCCAAGCCCCATCAAACCTGGCCTTGGACACTTCCAGGCATCCAGGGACAGCCACAGCTTCTCTGGGAATTCCATCCCAACCCCTCACCACCCTCACAGGGAGGAACTCATTCCCAATATCTCTAATTCCCTCTTTTAATTTAAAGCCATTCCCCTTGTCCTGTCCCTCCAGGCCCTTCCCCAAAGATTTCAGCCAAACCAAACTTCCCACGGGAAACAAAGGCAGCAAATCCATCGGCCACATCCCTTCCCTCCAGGATCCCTTTGCCAGCATCCCGTTACTCCTGGGGGGCTGCACCCGACCCCGGGAAGGGAGCCCAAGTCCCTCCAGCCTGGAAAAGCCTCTGGAGTGACGGCTCTGCCTAAACCAAACCCCACGGCGTGGAAATTCCCTTCCAACCCAAACCGTTCCATGATTTGGCGATGGAATGGATTTTCTCGGATCAGGATGCTTAGAGAAAAGGAGAAATCTGCTCTTTTATCCTGTAAAAATCAGGTTAAGTTGAAAAAAAAGAAAAGCCCAAAACCCAAAGAAACAACCAGCCCAAAACTAAACGTTTCCAAAACCAAACCTAAAGAGCAACAAGAGCAGGAGAAAAAAACCCCAAAATTTTACTGACTCACCCTTTCCCAGCCTCCATCCCCCTCCACGCACGTCCCAAAGGAGCTCAGAGGAGAAAACCTGACGGGTTTTGGGTCCTTCTGCTCCCAAAATAAAAACCCCCATGGCTGGACGTGAGGAAGCTCTCGCAGCCGTGGAGAAAAGAAAATGTGAGCAGCACCCCGGGCACGGCGGAGCCGCCGATCCTGCTGAGACAGCCGGCCAAATTCCTGGAAAAACTGCAAGTCAGGGATTGTGCCGAGGCTGGAAAGGGAATAAAAGGGTTTTGTGGTTGCTTTCGAGCCGTGACCCGACTTGTCCCCTCCTGAGAAGTTGAATTCCACGAGTTTTGGCCACGGGGTGAAAGCCGCTCCGAAGGTCTCGTGGTGTCCTCAACTCGTTGTCAACCTGGCCAGGTGTCCTTTGCGCTGCCAAAAATATATTTTGGGCTTCGTCCCCGGGGAGTTTGGGGTGTGCTGATGGACACCCCCGTGAGGGAATGTCTGAGGGAGCAGCAGGAGGAGGTGCTGGGATGGAGGGAAGAGTTTGGGGTGGACAAATTTCAGCGTGGGCAGCGCTGGGGGGGTCCCGGAGGGGTTGGAGCCTCCCAGTTTGGGGTCTCCATCCCCATCCCAAGGACACCAGGGAGGGAATGGGAATGTGGACGTGGATGGGGGGCACGGGGGGGAGTGTGCACATGTCCCACAGGGTACAGCGGGGTATTTTGGGATGCTGGGGGACACGAAGAGTCGGGGGGGGGAGTGTCACAGACGCCGGTGGGGCTCAGGAGCCACACGGTGCCACCGAGGGGTGAAGGTCCCGGGGGACCTGGGGCTCCCGGGGTGCTGGGGGATCCCCAGGTGTGAATGTGGCGGAGGTGCACAGAGCCCCCGTGGCAGCTCCCACGCGTGTTTCCCGCCCTCTCAAAATTCCGTGCGCCTCGGGAAATACGGGATTACCGTATTCACAAATGTGAGTGCGCTCCGCCGGTACCGTAATTTTTCCAGATGCGCATCACACCGCTACCGTAATTTCCAGCGCGCATGCGCAGTGGCACCCTGTTATTTCAAATGCGCATGTGCAAAAGAAATACCGGGTTTTAAGGTGCGCGTCGCACTACCGTAATTTTCCATAGCGCATGCGCACTGGAAGTAACGAATTTTAAATGCGCACCGCACCGTTACCGTAATTCCAGATGCGCATGCGCGTCGCCACTAAAATAATTCTGGTTGCGCATCATGCAATTACCGTACCCCGGCATGCGCATGCGCACCTTAGGTACCGTAATGTCCAATGCGCATCGTACTGTTATCCTGCGCCCAAGAGCGCATGCGCACATGAAGCACGGCAGTTCCAAATGAGGCTCGCTCAATACCGTATTTACAAACGCGCATGCGCCGTAGATCCTGAAGCGCCGCACCGCGATACCGTAATTCCAAATGCGCACCCACAACTGCCGCCTTTCCAAGTACGCATGCGCACCACAACTACCGTAATTCCACATGCTCATCCAAGCCCGGCTACCGTAATTACAAATGCGCATCCCATCTCAAGTGCCGTAATTCCAAAGGCACCGTAGTTCCCAGTGCACATGCGCGTCATAAGTACGGCTTCCAAACGCGCCTGCGCGCCATCACTACCGTATTTGCGAGTGTGTATCGCGCCCTCCCGTATCTCCTAGCGCGCATGCGCACCACAACTACCGTGTTGGAACCGCATATACTACCAGAACTACGGTGTTTCTAAACGCGCATGCGCACAGTTACCGTATCTCCCAAAAGAGCAGCGCAATCCCGTAGTCACAAATGCGCGGCTACCGTAATCCAGAGTGCGCATCACGACGCGACACAACTACCGTATTTTCTCATGGGCATCCCGACATAAATACCGTGTTTCCGAGCTCCCATCGGAAGATAAATACCGTATTTGCGGCAGCGCATCCCAAAACGCGCGTGTTTCCAAGTGCGCATGCGCGCAGCGAAACGGCCGTAATTACGGGCGCGCGCAAAGTCTCCGTGGTTACCGTAATTCCCAGGGCGCACGCGCAGTGCCCTCTACTCCCCCC